ATACAAGCAGAATACACTGTGTGTAATGCTTTCAGTACTCGAGTAGAAAAGCCACTGAAGGAGTATGGGACCTGGCACATGTGCTTGGACTGTGGTAGATCATCTTTCTCTGAGGCACATGAGAGAGTCAGGCATCGTCTGTCACTGGGAAGGTTAGAAGACCAGATCAGTGTTTCCTCACGTTACTGCAAATATAGGTAACATGTTGATTCTTCCTCCTCATTATATTAGAGGACGACATGTGTATTGTTCTACTGGTCATTACACAACATGGTAAAAATACTTTCTGTGTGTGTGTAGGTCGACCTTACAATATGAAGCACATCGAGGCGACTGTTGTTGTGATTTGGTGCTGTATAAAGAAAATTGAACTGAATGTAGACCTGCCTCCTCATTGTGCGGCCTGTTTTGTTGTTGTGGTGGTTGTTATGACCTTTGCATGACCCCACACATCAGTGATCCAAGATCAAAGATGTTTGAAAGCAGTTTGGTGTGACAGCGTGACCCTTTGCAACACTTTGGGGTCACTTTTGACCCCTGAGGACCACAGGTGTTAGTAAATCCATAAAAAACCCCATAAATAAATCAAATTACTTAAAACTTATTCCAGTCATGCATAGCATAGTGCTCAATAGCTCCTGTTATTTTCAGACCATTTGATGAATAAAAGCAATTTTTTGATGGCGAAAAAATGACCCGAGGACAACACGAGGGTTAAACCCAAACTCAACTTTGACCCTGAACACATCTCTACTGAGCTTAATAGATTTTCTTTTCCAGTCAAATACCTCAAATATTCCCAAGGTGTAAATGGGTTTGAAGTCTGCTGTATTTCATGTTGAGATCAACATATACAAATACACCGGTTAATCCTGACATGTAAAGAACGGCTGCTGGATTATCTGAATGAAACTCTGAGATGTTCTTACCTGCTGTGATGTTACAGCCCAGAAAAAAGGCAAAGAGGCAGCAGCAGATATTCACTCTCATCATGGTCACGACTCGGACATCTGCAGAAGGTTGACCGGCATTTATCTCTGCTGGAAGAGGAACTCAGCTCATCCTCCCGTACGGGCCGGCCTTCTTTTGTGGTTGATGAGCACTGATGAAGTTCCTGTTAGAGCTCAGTATGAAATCATATTTCTCATCATGTAAGACCTACATCCAAGGACGCTTCCATTTTTAGTTTCCTGACCACTGACTCGTAACAAAGGGAGTTTTTAGAAAAAGCTGTTTATGGAAAAACTGAAGAAATGACTGTGATCACAATCTAAACATAGAAAGTTAAAGGAAATAAATGAAAACACATTTTGTGTCACACCAACATCAAGTTAAGACGGTAATCGGTGGAAAAACGTGTCACTGCGGCGCCATAGCGAGGCTCGTCACGAATGACTGAGCTGTTATCATGTAGCATCATCATGACTTTGAAGTCTGATCTCAGAGAGCTTTTAACAAAGGTTCAGAGCATCGTGACAACAACTCATGAAACACTTTGAATACTGTAAATTTGTTCAAGGATCTTTGTTCCTGAGCCTCGTATGGCGCCACAGTGAAGACACTGGCTGATACAGCATGTGACTGTCCAGAGTTTCACTGGACAGAAGACTTTCTCTGATGGGAAGCAGATCGGCTGAGACGCAAAAGAAAAAGACGATGAAAACCAAAAAGCAAATACAAAACACTGAGAGGGCAGCGCAGTAAGTGACTAGCTGAAGATAACTTTGAAGTGACTGTGAGAAAAACTGACGGACTGAAACTTCCCCTACAACGAGCGAGGATGAATCGATGAACCGAGGCAGACGCAGTCATATATTTACAGGAGGATGATTTGAGCACATCACCCCTGTATGTGGCTACCTTGTCAGGTTCGAGCAGATTTTAAGGTCACCTACAAGGCTTTAAACGGACTGACACCTTCATACCTCTCTGATCTTTTGCACCCTTATGCTCCATCCCGTGCGCTCCGATCTCAGGACTCTGGCCTTGTAAAGGTTCCTACAGCCAGAAAAAAACGTGTTTTTCTTTTCGTGCCCCTTTTTTGTGGAACAGCCTCCCTCCAGATATCAGGCAGGCTGCTCTGTGGAGCTTTTTAAAGTCAAGTTGAAGACCCTCTTGTTCACCCGGTCTTACATGTCTTAATTCTTTGCCTTTTAGTTTTTTTGATTTTTAGCGTTTTTAACTTTTATTATGTTTAAACTTGTTATTGTGTTTTAACTTGTATTGCTTTGCATCACTTTTATTTATTTGTCTCTTTCAAATAGCTGTACAGCACTTTGTCTGAAAGCGCTTTTTAAACAAAGTTATTATTATTATTATTATTATTACACGTAGTGGGCTGAGTCATAACTGAATCAAAACAGACATGGAGACATGACAGGACAGACGAGACGCTGATGACACATAGATGGACACAGACGGGACAAACATGAACCAAAAGCTGAAAGTTACAAACCCTAAAATAAGAGCGTCAGTATACAAACACCTGCCAGTTAGTCGAATTACCCACAGTGATAATACAGCTGC